CGCGAGCATGCGCGATGCGAATGCGAATGCGATGCGACGATGTCGACGCGCGCGACAATGGCGCGTCACGTCCGCGCGCGTCGCCGTGACCGCCCGCGATGCGCGGTCGATGGCGCGCCGAGCTCTTCGGCGTCGCGCGCGCGATCGAGCGAGGCGTCGCCGCGACGGCGTCGACGTCGAGCGCGATGACGATGCATTACGAATGCGTCCCGAGCGCGAGCGCGATGGCGATCCGTCGCGTCGTCGTCACGGGCCTCGGCGTCGTCACCCCGCTCGGGCGCGGGATGCTCGAGAATATGCGCGCGCTCGAGCGCGGGCGCGCGGGCGCGCGAGCGCTGGAGGTTGTGGACGTCCCGGAAATCGAGCGGGGCTGGTTCGACGCGACGCGGCGAACCGTCGCGGGCGTCGCGGACGCGCGCGTGGGATTCGATCGCGATCGGTGGTGCGAGGGCGATCGGTACGCGAAGTTCGTGGGACACGCGCGGTGCGCGGCGCACGAGGCGATCGAGGACGCGGGATTGATGGCGACGGCGAGGACGGGTGAGGGGCGGGACGACGTCGGCGTGAGCGTCGGGAGCGGCATGGGCGGCGTGAGCGATCTCACCCGCGCGGGGGCGCTCATGGCGCGTGGGGAGTTGCGGAAGATTTCGCCGTATTTTGTGCCGAGGATTTTGGCGAACGCGGCGGCGGGGAGGGTGTCGATGGATCACGGGTTCAGGGGGCCGAATTTGGCGGCGACGACGGCGTGCGCGACGTCGGCGCACTGCATCGGCGACGCGTTTAGGGCGTTACAGCGAGGCGAGGCGAGCGTGATGATCGCCGGTGGTACGGAAGGGTGCATCGATCTCGTCTCTTTGGCGGGATTCGCCAAGGCGAGGGCGCTGAGCGCCTCTGGAATCGCGAGACCGTTCGATTCCAGGCGAGACGGTTTCGTCATGGGAGAGGGCGCGGGGATCTTAGTGCTCGAGACGCTCGAGCACGCGCGCGCGCGAGGGGCGACGAAGATATACGCCGAGGTACGCGGATACGCCGCGTCGGGCGACGCGTATCACGTCACGCGGGCGAGTCCCGACGGCGAAGGCGCGGCGAGAGCGATGCGCGCCGCCATGCGAGACGCCGGCATAGTCGATCCGCTCGACATCGGGTACGTCAACGCGCACGCCACCGGTACGCCGCTCGGTGACGCCGCGGAAACGATGGCGCTCAAGAGCGTGTTCGGCGCGCGCGCGATCGAGTCCGGTGACGTGCTCGTGACGTCCACCAAGGGCGCGACTGGGCACCTCCTCGGCGCCGCCGGCGCGGTCGAAGCCGCGTACGCCATCATGGCTCTCCACACCGGTGAGGCCCCACCAACGGTTGGATACGACGTCATCGACGAATCACTCAATATTCCAATCGTCGGCGGCGCCAGTGGGGTGAGCTCGCGCCTTCGCCCCTCGACCCGCGCCGTCGTAACCAACTCGTTTGGATTTGGCGGCACGAACGCCAGCTTAATATTCGCCAAACCCCCACCCCTCGACGCCCAGAGCGCGGCCGGCGTCGTGAGGTATTAAATCACCACCGTTCGCGCGCTATTCGCGACGTCGACGCGTTGTAGTCTCACCGTAGTCACCGTAGTCACCGCTCCGCGCGCGTCCCGCCGCACTCCGAGCCTCCTCGCTCGGAGCCGCTCGCTCAAAAATGTCCGACACCGACGGACACGCCGCGCGCGCGTCCACGATCATCGCGCTCGCGCTCACGTCCCTGGTGCGCTCGAACGAACGCGACGACGCGCGCGCGCGACGTCAACGATGCGGTTTCGGTTGAGATTTCAATTTGAAAATGATGAATCTTTCGCGTCTCCACCGCTACGTCGACGACTGACGACGCCGACGCGCGCGCGGGTGACGGATTAGGTCGCGTACGCGTCCGCCCGAGCGCTGCGGAGCGCGGCGCGGGACTTTGCGACGCAACAGAGCGCGTTGTTGGCGACGATGACGGCGCTGGAGCGACGAAACGCCGAGGCGAGCGAGACGAGACGACGTGAACGAGAGCGAAACGCGCGAGAGAAGCGAGCGTGGGATTCGAGAGCTCAAAAACGGATGTCTGGGGAGGAGGCGGACGCGGAGACGACGGATAGTGAGAAACTTGGTCGGAGGAGGAGCGCGACGGAGGCGGATGAAGTCGCGAGCGGACGAACGAGCGGCGCGACGACGTCGCCGCGAGCGATCGGGGGGGATGATGTGGAGGAGGGAGGCGACGATGGGCGTGATGTTCGTGCGTTCGATCGCGACGCCTCGCTCGGGACGCCGACGAAGAGATCGTTGACGCACGCGACGTCGTGGGACTCGAACCGCGACGAGACAGAGACAGAGATCGACGACGATGCAGAGCTCAGGACGCAGATCGACGTCGTGGACTCACCGCTGGCGACAAAGTTTCACAAGCGCTTGGATGTGAGCGTGGAGGTCGATCCAGACGTCCAGGCGTTCGTCGGATCGCCACTCCCGAGAGCGCTGAGCAAGAGCGAGGAGCACAAGGGCGCCATGGAACGCGCAAACTCCGCGTTTCTCGAGCGAGCGTCGACGATGAGCACCCCGGAATCTAGCGTTCACGGCACCGCGTCTTCATCGAAGAACGGTCAGACGCCGTGGCCGGCGACTCCCGACGCGTCGATGGCTGTGAGCTTCAAACCAGCCGATCGAAGCATGGGACGCGAGCTGTTTCAGCGCGTCGTCGACGCCGACGTCGCGTCTGGCGAGTCTCCACGACGGTACACGCCGCCACGCGTGATGGGAGCGGGCGGTTCAGAATTGCAGTACGAGAAAGTGGCGACGGAGATGATGGAAACTCTTGGGCACGAATGCGAGGAGGTTTGCTTGATGCTCGAGTACGCGCTCGGTTTGCGGGACAAGTGGCTATTCGATGACAGCGAGGCGGCTTGCCCCGTCGTGGGTATACCGAACAAGTCGGAAACTTTGGCCACGAAGTCCGATCACGCGTTCAAAATGATCGATGGTGTCGTTCACGTGTACAGACCGGGCGAGAACGGCGATTTAGAGTTGGTACACGCGCCACCCGGTACGGCGACGAATTTCTTCCATGACTTACACGCGCTCCTGCGGGTGCAATCTTACGGCCCATCGAAGACGTTCTGCCACAAACGACTCAATCTTACCGAGCAAAAGTTCAACTTGCACGTCATGCTCAATGCCGATCGGGAGTTCTTGGAGCAGAAACAAGCCCCGCATCGTGACTTTTACAACGTCAGAAAGGTTGACACGCACATCCATCACAGCGCGTGCATGAATCAAAAGCACTTGTTGAGGTTTATCAAGTCCAAGCTCAAACGTGAGCCTCACGAACTCGTCATTTATCGCGACGGGAAGTTTTTGAACCTTCGCGAGGTTTTTGAATCTATAGGAATGACTGCGTACGAACTCAACGTCGACACGTTGGACATGCGAGCGGATAAGAACACGTTTCATCGGTTTGACAGATTCAATCTCAAGTACAACCCCATGGGACAGTCTCGTCTGCGCGAGATTTTCATCAAGCAAGACAATCTCATTCGTGGACGCTTCCTCGCTGAGCTTACGAAGCAGGTGTGTTCGGACTTGGAGGCGAACAAGTACACAATGGCAGAGTACCGCATCTCCATATACGGCCGCAAGGCGACCGAATGGGATAATCTTGCCGCTTGGGTGCTGAATAACAACGTTTACAGCGAAAATATTGTTTGGTTGATCCAGATCCCGAGATTATATAACGTCTATCACGCCGGTGGCACCATGAAGAGTTTCCAGCAGATGCTGGACAACATTTTTATCCCGCTGTTCGAGGTCACCGTTGATCCCTCGTCGCATCCCAAGCTGCACACGTTCCTCCAGATGGTGGTCGGCGTTGACATGGTAGACGATGAGTCTAAACCAGAGCGTAGGCCAAGCAAGCACATGCGCGTGCCCGAGGCCTGGGACGTTCAGCACAATCCCGCGTATGCGTATTACGCGTACTACGTCTACGCCAACTTGTACACTCTCAACGCATTACGGGTAAGCAAAGGGTTGAATGCGATCGCATTCAGACCGCACGCCGGCGAGGCTGGCGATATTGATCACCTGTGCGCCACTTACATGCTCTGCAAGAACATCGCTCACGGGTTGAACCTTCGCAAGTCTCCGTGCTTGCAGTATCTGTACTACCTCTCGCAAATTCCAATCGACATGTCACCGTTGAGCAACAACTCGCTCTTCGTAGATTATCACAAGAATCCGTTTCCGCAGTATTTTGCTCGAGGCTTACGGGTTTCGCTCAGTACGGACGATCCGCTCATGATTCACATGACCAAGGAGCCGCTCGTCGAGGAGTACTCGGTCGCCGCGCAGGTATGGAAGCTCAGCGCCGCCGACCTGTGCGAGATCGCGAAGACGAGCGTCTTGAACAGCGGTTTCCCTCGAGCATCCAAGAAACACTGGGTGAGCGACCAGTACTGGCTCGGTGGCACGCGCGGGAACGACATTCAAAAGACGAACGTTCCCGACCTCCGCGCCCACTTCCGAGACGACGTCCTCGAGACGGAGAAGGCGCTCGTGCGCCGAGGCGTCGTGCAGGCCCGACAGAAGGGCCGCGAGATCAAAATCCGCGGCTGAATCTCTTAAAATTCTCCCCACAATCTCGCCGTCTAGCCGCGGTCATCCCGTCGATTGTCATTCAACGCAGTCCCGCGCCGACGCGTTCGCGCGCTCGCGCCTCCCTCGGGGTCTCGCCTCGAGTCAAAATTCAACACACCCGCAACGCCACACCGCGCGTCGCCCGACGCCTCGTCCGCTCCGCGCGTCGATCGCGTCGACGACACCGTCGTCCGCGTCCGCGCCCGCGAACGCGTCGACGCGTCGCGTCGCACCGCGACGACTTTGGGTGTTCACTCGGCGTCAACACCCATTCATTCATCTTCACCTCCCGCGCGCGGTGGTGATCGCGCACGAGCGCGCGCCGATCGACGCCGCGCGTTAACGGGTTCGCGATGAGCGGCGCCGCGAGCTTAGATCGCTCGAGCGGGTCGTTTCGACACTCGGAGCGATACGCGGCGACGGCGGCGAGGTACTCGCGCGCGCTCGAGCGCGAACGCGACGCGGACGAGACGGCGACGAGCGGACGAGGAGGCGACGGCGGCGAACGAGAGCGACTGTTGGACGCGCCGGAGTACTTGGAGCGACAGAGACGAAGGAACGATTCGTTCCGGCGTGGATGCGGGAGGGCGCTCGCGATTGCGCTCGCGTTGGCGGCGTTCGCGGGCGTGGCGACGTTCGGGTTTCAGTACTTTAGCAAGTATAAACACGACAACGACGCGGCGTCGACGACGCCGGGGCCGAGTTTGGTGAGAGGCAACGCCACGACCGCGGCGCGCGCACCGGCGCCGGCGCCGCGGGTGCAGGCGCCGCC